ATTACGTCAAGTTAATAATTGCACAGAGATATCAGTTATAATATTCTAAATTCAAATTTATGATATTTTATTTGTTTATAAAAAGGAAATAAATAAACATGAAACAAAAACACAACCATAAGCATAGAAATGATAGAATCATCTTCTTCTTTATTTTACCCATTTTTATTCATGTACCCAATGGATTGAGGAAGACGTATTAATTTGAAATCAACAAGTGTGAGTCAACCGTTAGTCTATATTCTATCTATCATTAGTGTTGTGAATCAGATACCTTAAACAAAGTATAAACGGTTTCTTTGTTATCAAGAAACACACAAGGGTTAGGGTTAGAGTTAGAAGAAAACAATAAGGATTGGTTATTAAACTGCTATTCTTTCCTTTCTCTTAGAACAAGATTACAAGTATACAAGAATAACAAAATAACCTCTCTCTCTTGAAATTAGGATTTTATCTTCCTATTTTTCTTTATTTCCAAGTATGAGAAACTAGTATCCTATTTATAATGATATAACACACTAACCTAATGGGCTTTTTAACAATTACCCATTACAAGCTAACTTAGGGTATAAGCTAACTTAAACAATTTTGGGCTTACAAGCAAGACCCAATTCAACATGCTAACAACCCTAGCAATATTTACTCATGCTAACAACCTTAGCAATATTTACTCATGCATGTTAGAACAAACTTCGACTACAACACGCATTACTTGCGAACAGACTTCGACCACACTAGAGTTCGATCCAATATCTCACAAATCTCCACCTTGGATCTAACTCTATAACATCAAGAAACTAGCTTTCTTTATGCAGCTTTATTAACTGCATACAGTGGAAAAACTTGCAACTAGGCAACTCTTGGTGATCATATCAGCAGCATTATGATCTGTCGAAACCTTCAGCACTTGGACTTCTCCACGCTCGATTACCCCTTTGATGAAATGCAGCCTCACATCAATGTGCTTGGTTCGCTTATGATAGGCTGAATTCTTCGACAGGTGTATTGCACTTTGACTATCACATTTAACAGTGATAACTCGACCTTGAAGTTTTAGCTCCTTTGCAAAACCTTCAAGCCACAATGCTTCCTTCACAGCTTCAGTTAGGGCAATATACTCCGCTTCAGTGGTTGATAAGGCAACGACCTTCTGAAGTGTTGCTTTCCAACTGATTGCTGTCCCAAACATAGTGAACACATATCCAGAGATAGATTTTCTAGAATGCATACAACCTGTATAATCAGAGTCGACATATCCTTCGATTGCTGCTTTACTATCTTCACCCAAGTCTCCACCATAAATTAGGACTCTATTCAGAGACCCATTTATGTATCTTAAAATCCACTTCAATGCTTTCCAATGAGCCTTTCCAGGATTCGCCATGTACCTGCTTACAAGACTTACTGCATATGCTATGTCGGGTCTAGTACAAACCATAACATACATCAAAGAACCTACTATGTTAGCATATAGAATGCTATTCATATAAATTCTTTCAACATCTGTGCTGGGACACTGATCCATGGCCTTCAGCCATTCAGTCTTCTTTCGACTCCTCATAAATTCCTTATAGTCTCTAGGTTCTTCATCTAGAACCTCACTTGCAGAGATTAAGGCATAAGCTATAAGATCTGCATATCCAAGTCTCTGAGGTGGCTTGATGACTCTCCTCGACCTGTCTCTTGCTAGCAGGTAGTCATTATCAGTCTCCTCATCTTCGACAACATCTTCTGCGTCTTCTTCGACTTCATCTGGGGTAAGCAATTCAGCATCAACATGCTCCACCTCAACAGGAATCTCTCCCTGTTCCAGCTTTTCAACTTTGTCACCTCCTAGCAGGTTCTGCTTCCCCAATTCGATCAGGCCTCTTTCGCTGACATGGCCCAATCTCATGTGCCATAATTCTGTCTTCGACATAGATTTCGTGGATGCAACATTTGTCGAACCACTTACAACCTCAGCCTCAAGGGTATACAAGCCTTGTTTCTTCACGCCTCTCAAGACTTCCTTCAACCCCTTCATGACTCTTAGGATACTTTTCTCTCCTTGAAAAACGTATCCTTTTCTGTCGAATTCACCAAGAGAAATCAGATTTCTCTTCAAGTCAGGTACGTACCTGACTTCAGTCAATAACCTTATTGACTCATCATGAAGCTTGAATCTCACAGATCCAATACCTGCAATTTTGCAAGATTTGTTGTTTCCTAGCAGCACAGATCCACCATCTTGATCACACAGCTCCTCGAACAATTCTCTGTTTGGGGTCATGTGCCAAGTGCAACCTGAATCCATAATCCACTCTTTTCTCGAGTCGCCACTTGAAACCACAAGAACATCAGATGAGTCGAAGTCATCTTGAACAATGGCTGCATTGCCATTACCTCCATGATCTTTCAGGTGTTCAGGGCACATCTTTCTTATGTGACCCTCCTTCTTACAGTGATAACATCGAATACTAGATGTTTCACCACTATAAGACTTCTGTTGACTTTTACCTTTCTTCTTGTCGAACTTACCATCCTTTCGCAAGAATTTTCCCTTAACAGCCAAACCTTCGCCCACCGTCGAAGGTTTATGCTCCTTTCTTTCGTTCAAGTCCTTAGAATATAAAGCTGATTGAACTTCTTCAAAGGTCAAAGAATCCCTTCCATACAAGAGAGTTTCTTTGAAGTGAGCATGTGTTCTGGGCAAAGCACACAGCAACAACAGTGCTTGATCTTCATCATCGATCTTCACATCAATATTTTCAAGATCAAGAATCAGCTTGTTGAACATATCTAACTGCTCAGCCAACACTTTGTCTTCACTCATCTTGAATGAATATAAAGCTTGCTTCAGATAGAGTCGATTCACCAGAGATTTGGTCATGTACAAACTTTCAAGTTTCACCCATAATCCTGATGCTGTAGTCTGCTTTGATACCTGTCGAAGAACCTTATCACCAAGGCTCAACAATATTGCACTGTGGGCTTTCTCGATCATGCTCTTCTTTTCTTTTGCCGTTAACGCAGCGTCCATGGCTGCCTCACCCTTCAACGCTTCCAAACAACCCTGCTGAACCAATAGGGCTTTCATCTTCAAGCGCCACAGGCCGAAGTCGTTCACTCCGGTGAACTTTTCAATCTCATACTTTGTTGAAGGCATCTTCTCCACGCTCACCGCACCAATTTGTTGTGAATCGGATACCTTAAACAAAGTATAAACGGTTTCTTTGTTATCAAGAAACACACAAGGGTTAGGGTTAGAGTTAGAAGAAAACAATAAGGATTGGTTATTAAACTGCTATTCTTTCCTTTCTCTTAGAACAAGATTACAAGTATACAAGAATAACAAAATAACCTCTCTCTCTTGAAATTAGGATTTTATCTTCCTATTTTTCTTTATTTCCAAGTATGAGAAACTAGTATCCTATTTATAATGAAATAGCACACTAACCTAATGGGCTTTTTAACAATTACCCATTACAAGCTAACTTAGGGTATAAGCTAACTTAAACAATTTTGGGCTTACAAGCAAGACCCAATTCAACATGCTAACAACCCTAGCAATATTTACTCATGCTAACAACCTTAGCAATATTTACTCATGCATGTTAGAACAAACTTCGACTACAACACGCATTACTTGCGAACAGACTTCGACCACACTAGAGTTCGATCCAATATCTCACAATTAGTCTTTAGTGGCCATCTACATTGAATTTTTTTGTGGTTATAAAATAGCTTAGTGGAAAGAATTTAATCCACTAATAATTATAAAAAAAATTGAAAGGTACTGTTTATAATCACAACACAAATCATATGATTTTGCAATTTTTTTAATTTAACCAATGTATTATAAATTTTTTATTTACATTTGTTTTTATTAATGGACACAATAGTTCACGTATATATTCAAAATATTGTATTTAATTTTAAGGTTTTTAAAAAAATTAAAAAAGTCAGCAAAAAACTGCGAGTCAACGGTTAGTCTTTTGTGATCCATCTTAACTTCGTTAAATTATTTATTTTATAGTATTTATTTAGATGTTTTGATTTCGTATATGTAGTTTTTTCAATTTTTTAAGCAAAAATTATTTTATTTACTATCAATAAAAACCATAAAATTATGAAAAATATCATAATTTTTTTTAATCTAAAAAAAGTTAAGTACGCCTGAATTTAATCTCTCACGCGACTTCTTTCTTTGCTAAATAACATATATTAATAGTATGAGAAATGTCAGGTTCATAATAATTTTTTTTTCTTCAAAAAATTGGGAGAGATAAAACTTTTTAATTGCTTCCATCTTATTAAAAATTATCACATTTTTTTTCTCAATTGCAAAATAATTGCTATTTTAATTCATCAATTAAATTATTTTGCTAATTATAATTAATAAAAAAGAGCACAAATAATATTAATTTTACTAATTAAATGAACTCAGTCTAACAATTTTTAAAAAATCTTATAAAATCAAATATAACAATTAATATAAAACTAAGAAATTATTAAAAAAAAATGAAAATTAATAGCTATTTTCATTTGTATTTTCTGGGAAATTTGAATTCTATTTTAGAATTTGACACTCAAATTCTTATTACTAAATTGCCATATATGATAACCAATTCTTTTGAATTTAATAACATCACAAACATTAACATCATATCCAGACTAGAAGTAAACGACAAGTCAAGCACTAAAGTTAAAGCCTTTCATTTTCAACAATTTGACAATACAAACTTAACATTATGTTATTATCGCCCTACAATTATTTATGTCAAGTGACACGATTAGATATTTTCTCTAATTTTATTTGTGGTTTAATTGTCACAAAAATAACACAAGAGTTGAATATGGAGACAACAAAAAGAAAACTTAGTGACTCACATACATGTTGTCAACTAAAGATAAAATTTACTCTGAAGAAAGAAAATACAAAGTTTGGCATTAACCTTATTCTAATATGACATTAAACATTCAGGAAAATAAATAAGCCAACAAGAAAAATAGACATAGAATCACTCATGGCTATGGTTTCTCTTCATCTTCTTCTTCATCTTTGCCATTTTTACTACAATTGTCACATATATATCCTCAACAACATCTTCCACCCATCTGAAGTATGCATGTCTCCAATTCTTCTTGAACCACAAAGTCCAAATAACTCCCCAAAACCCAGTCCCAAAACCGGCTGCTATCACAAAGTAGAACCATACTTTTTCTATCCCATCTTCTTCTTCATTACCTTTTCTTTCAGAAGTTCCATGCAAAACATCACCAGGGAACATGTTTGGAAGTGGAGATACACAAAGGTATGGATTGTAAGCATAAATTGATGGGTCATTAAAAGTTGAAAACTGATTATCTTTGGGAATTGGTCCTGAAAGATTATTGTGTGACAAGTTCAAACGACTCAATGAAGTTAAAGCAGACATGGTGCTAGGAATTTTGCCTGAAAGTTGGTTATGAGACATGTCCAATGATTCTAGTGACTTCATATTTCCTATCAATGGGGGAATCTCTCCTTCCAATTGATTATTTGACAAATTCAAACTATGCAGTCCTGTGAGCCATGTGATTTCATTTGGAATGAATCCAACCAAATTGTTTTCTGACAAGTCCATATGGACTACAAGTCTCAAGATTTTAGCATACTCAAGTTCCTTTCCTTTTACCACTTCTGTCACAACTTCAGTAGACCAGGGGTCTTCAATTGTAGTAGGAGGACCTTCAGTAATTAATCCTGTAATTGCTCCGTATGATTGCATGTGAAATGGTGATGGTATTATTTTTTCCAATTTCATTCCTTCAAGGTTTCCTATGCATTTAGGTATCGAACCCTGTAATTTGTTTCTCGAAATGTCCAAAATTTTAAGCGATTTGAGTTGGCATAGTTGTGAAGGAATGCTACCACTGAACATGTTATGTCGCAGTTTAAGAACTTGTAGTAAAGGAAAGGTGTTTGTTGTCCATGATGATGGAATACTCCCAGAAAGATAATTATCACCAATATCCAAAATCAACAATTGCTTCAAGTTTACAAAAGACACAGGAAACTCTCCTTGAAGGCTATTGTTGTTCAAATGCAACCAAAACAATGAGGAAAGATTACCAAATGAGCTTGGGAATGTTCCTGTTAGTTTGTTGGATGACAAATTTATCTCAGACCATATTTGATTATCCTTCCAACAATTTGGAATTTCACCAGACAATTTGTTGTTTGAAAGGTCAAGGTTGGCAATTTGGCTTTGACACAGAGAGAATGGTATTGAACCATTTAACTTGTTGTTTCCTAGAAACAAGTCCCCCGAATACATTATATGGCCAATATTTTTTGGAAGTGGACCGCTGATTTGATTGTGGGAGAGATTCAAATGATTCAAATTTAAAAGACATCCTTTTTTCATAGACATTATTCCATCCAACATGTTTGAAGAAATATCTAAAGAATACAAATTGACAAGTTGACAAAGACTTTTCGGAATGACCCCATTAAAAGAATTGTTTGAAAGAACAAGACTATTCATATGTGCAAGTTTTTCAAGGTTATGAGGAAGTGAACCATCAAACTTATTAGAAGAAAGATCTAAGTGAGTTAAATTGACAAGTTGACCTATATTCTCATGAATGAGTCCTTTGAAAGAATTTTTTGAAAGATCAAGATGATTTAGATTTGCAAGTTTCCATAGGCTTTGAGGAATTGAACCATCAAACTTATTAGAAGAAAGATCTAAGTAAGTTAAATTGACAAGTTGGCCTATATTTTCAGGAATAAGCCCTTCAAATGTATTATTGGATAGTCTTAGCAACTGCAGTTTTGATAGCTTTCCTATTGACAAAGGGATAGGCCCATGGAAAAAATTTGAAGTAAAATCAAGGTATTTTAGATTTTCAACTTTCCCCAACCAAGTTGGCAGGTGACCACTAATATTATTATACCCTAAATTCAAATATTGCAAATCATATGTAATACATTTAGATATATCAAAATGTTCTATTGATTCTGTGTAAAGCTTGTTATGTGATAACTGCAGTACTTTTAGGCGGCACAGGGAATTTATGATTGATGATAGAAAGTATTCATTAAGTGTGAGTTGATTCCACCTAACATTAAGGAACACAAGTCTCTTGAACTCAACAAACCATGATGGAATTGAAGTTAAACTATTTTGAGAAAGGTCAAGGAATTCAATGAAAGTCATGTTTCGAAAACCCTCTGGAATTGGATCATGGATGTCATTGGAAGAAATGTCAAGATGGGTAAGTTTTTCAAAGTTGCGAAACCACGATGGAATAGAATTGAAATTGTTTTCAGAAAGGTAGAGCAATTCAATGGATGTCATGTTTTGAAAAGACTCGAGAAATGAACCATGAAATGAATTCCATGATAAATCTAGATAGACAAGAGATGTCATGTTTTGGAGAGCATGACGAGGAATAAGTGAATTGTCAAGTTGGCAGTAAGACAAAGAAAGATGCAGCAAAGATGGAAGTAAATTGAGTACCTGGAACAACTTGTGTTTGTTATTGAGGGGGACATAAGTCAAGTCAAGGTGATTGAGTGAATGAAGTTTAGATATCCAAGTGGTGTCCCTATTTATTTCCAATGAATTGAAACCGAGATCAAGAAATTGTAAGTTCTTGAGATTTCCAAGATTGTTGGGAATCATCCCTCTAAAATTAGCCTGAGAGAGAGAGATATATTCAAGGTGTTCCATGGAACCAATGAACATAGGAATTGAACTCCCACAGAAATCATTTCCACTCAAGTCCAAATAAGTCAAGTGTTTCAATTGCAACAAAGATGAGCTTACATTTGGAGCAGTTAATGGCATATCATCCAAACGGTCACCAGAGGAAGGGTAAGCTTCTAGTTCTGGTCGCCAAGAAAATGCTGGGTACCAAGGATTCTTGAGGTCAAGCTTGACAACATGTCCAGTAAGATTGTCACAGTCAATGCCATCCCATTGGCAACAGTGAGTGCCTTTCCATGATGAAAGCTTGTTTAGTGAGTTTTGTGAAATGGATGCTTTGAAATCAAGAAGGGCTTGTCTCTCTTGTTCTATGCAAGGGACATTTGAATTAGCACACAAGCACATTTGTGCAATTACAATAAACACCAAAAGTACAACACACATGAAATATCTTTCCATGTTTTCTATTGGAATTGGTGGATGAGTTTCATTTCACTCATGCAACTTATATATATAATATAATACAACCATCATTTTCACATGTAGCATTTAAAATACAACTTCCTCGAAGCATCAAACTTAAACAAACATCACGGCCACTTTTTTATAAAAAAATAAATATATGTCTAGTCTCCCAAAAGATATTTATACTTAGATATAGACTAGTAGCGAATTACTGACCATACAATTTTGCGTTTTTTAATTTAACCATGTATTTTCATGTTTATATATATATATATATATATATATATATATATATATATATATATATATATATATATATATATATATATATATATATATATATATATATATATATATATATATATATATATATATATATATATATATATATATATATATATATATATATATATATCAAGAAATAGATAGCGTATCCGGTAAGAATTATTGTGAAAAAAAAAAACAACTATCAATATCAATCGTCAAATTTCATTAACCTCTAAGATTTAAAGGTTTCACATTAAAAAACACCTTAATCGATTAGTTTGGTTAAACTTAATATATAAAAATTTCATAAAAAGAGATTTTTATCTAAAATAATTTTATTGAAATAATTATATTGTTATTAAAATATTATTAATATATTAATTATAAAAAAAAAGTGTGAATTTTTTTTAATATAACAAACTTATTAAATTAAAACACCAAATAAATCAAAAGTTGAAAAAAATTACTAAAGTGGCTAAATTTTTAAGTAGAGTCGTCAATTTAACGGCGAATTTGGCTGTAATAAGTGGTGTCGCCAATTCACATGACCCATTTCTATTGAAATAAAAAACCTAATCCTAAAAAGAAAAAAAAATATTTATTTGGAGGAGTAGCCAAACTAACAGGCGATTCTTTGTTGGCAGTTAGACAATATCGCCAATTTAAAGGGCGAATCCACATGAAACTTGATCATTTTCATAAATTTTTTGATATTTTATTTTGTTAAGTACTTTTATTAAAAAACATTGATATTATAAAAAAAAAGTACAAAAAGTGTTTTATTAAATATTTTTCTATTACGCTTAATATTTTAAAATTCTATGAAAGAGATCTCGTAAAAAAAGTTTTCAATTCCTTATCATTATATTAAATATTATAAATTTCAATCATTTATTTATTTTAAAACTCATGATAATTTAAAAAATGAGCTATGTAATTTGTGTTAATTTTTGAATTAGTAATCACTCTTGTAAAATATTAGGAGTCTCGTTTGGTTTTAAAAAAAAATTAGAAAAAAATACTTATCAAAATAAATTATGAAAAAGATATATAATTATATAAAATTTGAAATACAAAATTAAAATAATTTTTTTTATAAGAGTTAAGATTTTTCAAAGAAAGTTATGACATGATTTTACTAGGAAAATAATATTAGAAAGATTAGTAAACAATCTATACTTCTCATTATTTTAAAATTAATATTATTTTCATATATTTTATTTTGGAATATTATTTAATCTTCACAAATATTTATAGTTTAAATTATTTTAATTTTAAATAAAAACACTAACAAAAATGCTAAATGTTACGAATTATGCTTATGCTTCGTTGAAATGTTACGAATAAAGTGATCATTGATATGAAATTTTTAAATCTTACACTGACCATTGATATTTATAGTCTTGATATTATATCGGCATGCAATTTCAACGAAGTTTAATTCCTAACATTTAGTATTTTAGTTAGTATTTTTATTTAAAATTAAAATAATCTAAATTATAAATATTTGTGGAGACTAAATAAAATTTCAAAATAAAATTGATCGTACCTGACCAGAAGGAGATCAATGGTCTGCCACGCGTCGTCGGTCTAGAAGTTGTTCACCAAATTGTTGAAGAGGAGGAGGTTGTACCTGAAACACACTCTGATACCAAAGTATGTGACGAGCTAAGTGGAAGCAAGTACACAGAGAGAGTGAGAGAATTTAAGTTACCTGATCCTCTTAGTGAAGAAGGTATTTATAGTGAGCCCCCAGTGCAGGGCCAACGGTTACCTATTACTGAGCTAGGCTGCCAGGCCCAATGTTAGTAACTGTTAAGGCTGATGTGGCATCTGAAGATCAGCACGTGGTCTTTGCCCTAGAGTAACTGTTCTGTACTATCCGGGAGGAGAAAGACCGAATCTCCAGGATGTGGGCAGTTACTTTATGACGTGTCCCTGCATGAGGGGCACGTGGAGAACGTGGGGGAGGCTCGAGGGGCTCCCCGGGTAGACTGGGTTCTTCTCGACGAAGGGGAAGATAAGACCAACTGGGTTCTGTCAGTTGGGTTCTGCCCGACGAAGGGGAAGACAGGACCAGCTGGGTTCTGCCTGACGAAGGGGAAGATAGGACCAGCATGGTCCTGCCCGACAATTGAAGGCATATGCCCAACAGGGGAGGAAGGTTGTACCTGACAGGTGTTCCTGCCCGTCAGTGTGGTCTTAATGGGCCCAGCCTCATAAGGGTTTGGGCCTGCACGAGCGTGGGTTGTGCCTTAGCCCAGTCCGAAACATTAGCTCCCAAGTCGTTGCTCGCGGTCGGGCGAGCTATGACTTAAACAAGAAATGGTGCCGGACACCCTGATCCGTCGGGTAGGCTGTGATAGTGCCGACCAAGCGAGCACGTGACGAGGTAGTGCCCAAGAAGAAGAGAAGAATTTGAAGAGACGCAGGAAAGATGGAGAGTTGCCACATGTCTTCTTGTGACGGCTATGGACTAGGCACTCGAGTGTCTAGCGACGCCTTGTTTCCCGTGCTAGGGATATATATACCTTGATCTGGCTCGTCTTTTCGTTTATTTGCTTGTTTACAGCTGCTCAACGATCAGGAATTTCTGCTCGAGACCTTCAACCGCTTCTGCCCGACATCTGGATTTTTCTGCCCGACAACATCTTTTCTCCATCACTATCAAGTAAGATTCCGCACCTTTCTTCATGTTTTCTGTTATTTAGGGTGGTGTTTCTGGCAACTCCGCCGGGAATATCGCGGGTTTTTCCGGTGAATACGCCGGAGGATCCTTCAAAACTAGGGTAGAAACCATAGGTCCCCGGGTCTTGCGATGAGTGTCTCGGGGAGAATTGAATAGTACCTTGAGTGCCCTGAGGACGTAGGGATGAATGCCCTGGGCACCAGTGGTGTGCGCCGAGAACAGGGGGATGCTCTCTGGTCCTCCTCGGGGGACAAAGTTGTCCCCATCTCGCCTCGTGGGCGGCTAGGCGACCACGCCCTTTCACTTGAACTGCGGTTGAAGGGTAGATTTGATTTAGCTGTCGAATTCACCAAGTTCCTCTGCTTTTCAGGTATAAAATGGATGACCTTGCCGAGGAAGAAGTGGAGTGGTATTTGTCCAAGGATGAGGAGAACCGCGAGGAGGTCGATCTGGACCCTCAGGCGGGACCTTTGGAAGAATGGCCGGGGAGGAACCCCTAAATTATATGTCGAGGTTCGTCCTCGACGATTCAGACGCATTCTCGGTGATAGAGGATAGGGTGGCCGGGAGCCCCCGTCAGTTCCCTGCCTGTTGACCCCGGGAAGCCGACTGCATATGTTCGCAATATGACGGTGGTCGGTTCTCTATGTATGAGTTTGCATTCGAAGAGGTGGGAATGCGGATGCCCTTCACCGACTTTCAGCAGGGCGTTTTTGACCACCTACTCCTGGCACAGTCACAACTCCACCCGAACTCGCTAGCTTTCATCCGAGCTTTCGAGATCGTGTGTAACTACCTGAAGCTCAGCGCGACCATCTTGTTATTTTTTTGTGTATTCCACCTGCAGCGGCTGGCCGACATAGCTGGGTCTCGTTGAAGCAGGTGACCAGGCTCTTAAGGTCGTACACTGATTTTGTCCGGGGTTTTAAAGATCGCTGGTTCGTCGTGATGCTGGACACGAACAACGCGTATGAAACCATTTTTCGGAAGGAGGTCATAGTCATAGATGGGGGACCCTAGGATAACTATGAGTCTAACTTTCCCTAGAGTGGTCGGACATGCATTTCTGCTCGGGTACAGACAGTTTCATCCTCAGACCGGGCCGGCTAGGCGAGGAGGACAGCTTGGCCTTCCGCAAGCTGGTGGACTTCGTCGGCGTCTTCCTCCTTGGAAGTACGTGTCCCCCGACGGGAAGTATATCCTCGACGCCGACGGGCATATCCTGACAGAAGCCCGGTATATTAATGTTAAGGCTATGTTCAAGTGCAGGACGAAGGCTGAGGCTCATCAGCTCCTAGGTAGTTTGGGCACACTCGAGCTAATCTCTTTACTTGGTTATATTTTGTTTCTAACTGTTGCTCTTATGATCCTCTTGCAGGTTCAATGGGTTCGGTGGAGAAGAGAGTAACAAAGCTGATGAACAGGGGAAGTCGCCCTGCTCAAGGTCGGGCACCTGCTGCTCTGAGGGATTTGGTTGTTGCTTCCTCTGGGGCGACCTCGTCTCCTCAGGGAACTGGGTCCCCGGTACAGGCTCCGGTCCCCAAACGGTGATGGGAGGATGAGGTGCCTTGGATTGATCTGAAGGATACTTCCCCGGAGCGCGGGTTCTCTCTGCCCCCTTGTTGCCTTCGACCGAACTTCTTTTCGGGGAGAAACGAACCCGGGGTGGCACCAGACGAGGAGAAAAGCATATTGGTTGCGAGCAAGGAGGCTCGGCGGAATATGTTGTCTGCAGACTTGGCGGCAATGGTGAGGGTCTTCGAGACAGTCCTCGTTCTGAACGAGGCGGGGTGTTCCTCCGAGGACCTAGCTGTCGTGAAGGCTGAGCTCGCTATGTCCGAGGAGGTTCATGCTAAGCTGGCGGCTGATCAGAGAAAGTTCTAGACACAGGTCAAACTCCAGCAGGATCGCCTCAGGGAGCTGGAGAAGGCTTTGAAGGAGCGAGACGAGGAGCTAAAGGATGTCTGGGGTCGTGTTACGGAGCTCGATCCTATGGTCGCTCCCGCCGAGGAGGAATCTGAAAAAGAGCGGCAGCGAA